CACAATTTGTGGACTACAGTCAAAACCTGTAGCTTTTAAACACTTTCTTATAGGGCTCCTGAGTTTTGGCCCAAGTTGCAATTTCAAGAGATCTATTCTCAGTGAAGTTGTGGATCAGATGGAAGAGCCAAATTAATGCAAACAAAAGGTAGCAGGCCAGGTAACTTGCAGAATAAATGTTTGGGAACCCACTTTCATTACTCTTTACACAGCTTTATTTGGATGTACCTGGTTTGAACAATTCAAAACCACATTTTTTATTGTAAGGGAGGCAGAGCTGGGCTCAGAGAGGTTCAGGATAAGAAGAAATAAAAGACTATCTTTAGAGTAATGCATTCTGTTTCCCAGCTAGATCTGTCCTTAGGTCTTACTAAGGACATGTGGAAAGTGTTATAACTCCCATTTGATGCGAAGTATAGTCTGGTCCTACGTTAACAGCATTCTGCTCACAGCCATGGTTACTTTGCCTGGCTGTTCTAAGATTTTTCTGCAGCCACTGGAAAAATGTTAATTTTAATATTCCACCTGAATATAATAGAAATGTGAATACCAGAAGCTCTCGAAGCAGAACTCATCCTTGAGCTCGTGAGTGGAAGTGATGGCTTTCTTGACTTTGTACATTGTTGAAGATTCAACAAATTTCCCCTTCAATCTCCACATACTCCAGAGAAGGATTCCAAAAAAGATGATACTTGAATTTCCCTAAAGCTTCACATTTTATGGAACATGTAGTACAAAGACTGAGAACCATGGCTTCAGCGTGAGTGTGTTCACATCCAGTGAGGGTTGCTCTGGATGGAGGATGAGGAAGAAATCGAGGAGATGTGTGGGAGGCACACAGGCACTCCTCAGTCCATCATTATATACTTACTGGTTTTATGATCACTGATCACATTCAGACTAACTCTAAAATTCTGGATTAGATTGCTTCGGGACTTCCCTCAGCCCTTAAAAAATTTTCAGGTATTTCTTTTTAAATCACGACTAATTACAAGATGTGAGCTGATGCACAACAACTCTGTCTTTTTCTGCAGCCATCTTACTCTTACCCAGCCTTGTTTATTTAATGGTGTCTTAATCCAAGCTAATCACGTCCCTAGCAGCAAATTATGTTCTAAATGACAATGAATTATGTTAGCAGGAGGATAATCAGGAGAGAGCAATCCAATCACTTCTGGTTTTTTCAGCATACCTTAATCAAAAAGAGCAGAGAAGAAGAAGACACATTGCAGAGCAGCAGATGAGAGGAGTAAGTATTGCTGAACATACCTGGACCTTCACTAAGTGTGAGGAGAGTGTAGGACCCTCCCATCAGAGCTGTGCCTTCAGCTTTGTACTGACTGCAGGGCACGGGAGAGACGGCTCTGGAGGAAATGGGGGAGGCATGAGGAGGGGGTTGAAGGAAGCTGGCTAGACAGTGTTACCTGGACTTGAAAGCACATTTAGGATCATGAATAAATGATAATTTATTAGTCCTGCACTAAGAGCCTGCACTAGCCTTCAGAACAGTCCTTGATGGGTCAGGACACGTTGAGTGAGGCTGGGGCTGAGCAGTGTTCCCTTGGCTGATGTGAGGAGTGGGAAGAGAGAAGGTTCAGGAGGAGGAGCAGGATTGGTGTACCCAGACTTGCAGCACCTCAGTGGATGCTGAGCACAGCACCCTGCAGAGCTGCACAGCCCCTTCTCTCCCCCAGGCTGCTTGTTTTCCAGGGAAGCACTGTAGAAAGGATCCTGGTATTTATCAGCCTTTCCAATGCCCCGACAGACAGGCCACATGTCAAACATGCTATTTACCAGGAAGCACTTCTATTGATTTTTTTTTATAAGAGAATAAAATATTGGCAAAAGCTTCTCTTGCTCCTTATCATGAACATCAACACAGAGCAAATTTCATGCATTAGTCCCCTACTTTTTTGACCATAATGTAGAAAGCTTAAATAAATTCATTCATCTCGCAGCAATGTCGCTTCTGGAATAGCTGCTTTGTAGCCATTATTCAGCTGCTGGGAAGTGACAGATCAGCAGCCAAAGAGCACAGCCAGTCCTGGCACTCAGAGGGGATTATCTGGGGCTAGAGAACTGCCCCATGCAAAAACAGATGCTAGCAACAATTTGCTAGTGATATGTCCTGTCCCACGGTTGAAAAGTACCCTGGGACCCTTTCTCCATCTGCTTGCACACAGCTCTCATTTGCTTCAGCCTGAAAGATTCAAAAGTACATTTTGTCTTCAACAGTTTCATATCTGCCACAAACACCACAAGAAAAAAGGACAAAGCCTTCTCTGCAGTGGGAAAAGAACCTTAATGGACAGCTCTCTTTCAGCAAGCCTTAGGAAAAAAAAACATGCTTCTAAAAAGGCTGTAAATAAATTGAAATTCAGCCTAAGTGAATGTAGGCTGGTACGTTTTGGGTGGAGGGAGGAAAGCGAGGAGTACAAAGTAAGAGGCACTTGGAGTCATGAAAAAAGCTGAGAATCAATAAACAGACTGAAGAACAGTGAACAAAATGCACCAGGATTGAAAATGAAAATAAAAAAAGCCAAACCCTTCAGCCTTTGGGGAATTAGTGCTGCATATACAGCTACAATGGCCCAGGAAAACAAAAATGAAGGGATCTTAAACTGTCAGTGGCTGTGGCCAAAACCCCACACATCTTTAGTTCCCTACTTTAAAAAAGAGCTGATATTTCTCATATCCTACTTTATGGCCCTTTAGGATTGGGATCAAACTGGGAAGAGCTGGGGTAGCAGTTTTCTGCCACTCTCAGGGGTTATGCCTGTCTGATGGGGTAGGAAGGAATACCACAAGAAGAGGAGGCTTGGGAAGGAAGTTTGTAACCATGAATTTTATACACTGAACACTCTCAGCACCATACCAAGTTTATAATAAACACGTGTAATGGAATATATATTTATTCTGCTTCTATTTCTTTCTTCAAAATGCATTGCCATAAACCTGAAAAAAAAACCACCAAACTCTTAAAGCTTGGGATCCTGTTTGTCTAAGATGCTCTTTTCCTGCTGGAGATGTGCTTTTTCAGGCTGAGCAAAGGGAGCTCAGGCAGTGAAGCTCTAAACACCACTCCCATCGATTCCTGCTACCATGCTGAGGAGAAAAATAAAATAATCTCACCAGACCCTGCTCATGTCATGAAAATGCACAGGCAAGAAGACAGAGCACATGGAAAAGCACCTTGTTTTGGCACAAATGTCCCCCTGGATTACAGCAGAGACACCAGTTGCACTGCTGGTCCGTGGGGTGAAGGGACAGGTCTGGCACTGGCAGCCCAGCTGTGGATGGTGAGCAGGTCTGGCCTGTCCCAGGAGCAGATTTCCCTGTGGTCTCTGTGTCTGACTGCAGTGAGTGGGAGCTGGAGCCTTCACAGGGGCAGTGATCTGGTACTGAGGGAGTGAAGAGTCACAGAACCACAGAATATTCTGAGTTGGAAGGGACCCACAAGAGTCCAGCTCCTGAGCACCTGAGCAAACCCCATGGGCTGCCCCAGGCACAGGTCTTGCTCACACTTTGGAGGAAGTTTTCCCTCATCCAAACACACTGCAGGGACCTCACCAACCTTGCAGCAGGCAGGTCCCTCAATGCCTCCCTCAGAGGCATTCAGGCAGTCAACCCTTGTGTACAGTGAACCTTTCTGAGGTTTGGGACCTGCTTTCTCCCAGGCATGGGACCAGCAGCCCATATGGCCCACACAGCTTGCTCCCCCTTGGCAGGCAGCCCATGGCTGATTTTTCTTTCTGGAAAGAATGCCTGATCAAGAGTCTTGCTTTGAGCCTGGTTTTCAGGAAAAAAGAAAAAAAGACTCGCATGATTTCCTCTGTGCATGTACAGATGCCTGGATCTCCCTTAGCAAGCTTTGAATCCATCAGCCCAGCTCACCAGGTTTGACAAAGATTGTCAAGTTGCTATTTCCAGCTGCACTTACTTGCTGGGCTAAGCGACCTTGGAGGTGGCACATGCCAGGGGACCTGTTGGAGTGTGTCACATTCCCCACGTGGACATTTCCCTCTCCTGGAAAGCTGGGGCTGGAGGGACATGGCTATGTTTTACCCTCCTACAGGGTGAGAGCAAATCTGTGGAACCCAGGAGTGCAGAGGTTTGGGGGTTTCACAGACATGGCCAGAGATACCTGGCTTCTGTGGGCAGTGTGGGAACAGACAGCTGGCTATTCATGCTCTCCCCAGGGAGAAGACTGAAGCATGATGTCATGCTTTGCTGGCAGGGAACCAGAGAAAACATGGAGACAGATCTCATAGTGCCCCAGCTTCAAGAAGAGCTTCAGCAGAAGCTTTCATTTCCTTAGATGTCAGGGTCAACCAACACCAAGACACAGATCTGTAATAACCATCTGGTCATTAGCTCTTTTACTTGCTACTTCCCATCCTCCCTACCCAGCCCCCAGCATGCTCTCTGAGCCCACTCCTGGGGTTTACAGCTTAAGAGGAAAGTATCTGCATAAAGTAATACATTTTATAGTTTGCAGTTTTATTCTGCCCTGCACATCCTCACATCTGCCACGGGTTTTTCTCAAGGTCTCTGCTCTACAGGCAGGACTCTCATATTCCCTAGGATGTAAATCTGAAATCACAAAATGACCTCATGTGTTTTTTTTTGCTCTGGTTTCAATCTACCTTCCCATTTCCAGCATACTTCCAATATACAGAGTATATTTCCCTGTGTTCATTTTCAACTATTCTCTATTTCCATCTTTGTTTATTCCTTCTCCTTGGTCTCTCTTTTTGTCTGTCTTTTGTCTACCAGTCCTCCTTCTGTCCTATTTCAAAATCTTCCTATGAGCCAAGCCTACTATCTGTAAAGAGTAATGCTGTCAACTTTAGTCGGAGCTGAATTAACTCCCACGGCTTTCATCTTCCCAGCATTTTTTTTTCCCCTGCATCCTCTGTTCCCAGACAAAAAAATCCCAGTTCCTGCTTCCATTTTCAACTTCTTTGGAACTTACTTGAGCTTTTCTTTCCATTACTTACCTCACACCCTTCTGCAGCCCCTCCTTGAGTCTTTCCTGCTCTTTTCCCTCTCTCCATCTCACAGCAAACAATCTGCCTAATCTACCATCTCTGGCTACTGAGCATTTCAGTCCACACCCACCTGATGTATGGCAGCACCTAATGCATATTAAGATTAGGATCTCTCTCCTGTTCTCTCCCCTTTCCTTCACAAACGATGCCAAAAAAGGCTGCTGTGGGGTTTTGTTCAGTAGTTCTGCCTCTTCCTTCCCTGCTCCTCCCAAGCTCTGGTGGAGAAACAGTAAGCCAGTGGGTTACACAAAATCGTAATTAGCCTGTTAAAAACAGGAGAGATTTATTGTCTTGCTTTCTCTCCCAGAACAGGACATGAAGCCTGATGTAATATCACCCAGATCCAGACAAGGACTGGAATGGAACTCCCCAGGAGCAGGAACAGACTCCAGGGAGAAGAGATTGGCAGAGGATGTGTGGGAAAAAAAGAACTGGATGGGAGCGAGGACTGTAGAAGATGGGAATAAAAGGGAATATTAGAGGAAGCCCATGTTACCTGATATATTATCTTTTCCCTTATAATCAAGATCTCCCTTGAGATCTGTATTTCACTGAAACAAATGATCTCTCCCTGGGTAAGTTATTCTAGGAGGCTGATCTGGACAGTTGGGTAAAGGAGGATCCACCCATCGTGATCTCAGCTTTTTCTTTCTCATAGTTCATAGGAGAATCATTTTCTCACAGCCACTGTTTCTCTCAAACTTCTGTGCTTCTTTCAAAAGTTCTCTCAAACTTCTTTCTGGGAAAGAAAAAGGAAATGGGAAACTTTGTGCACCTTGATCACAGAACCAAACTTGACCAAACTTGATCACAGAAGTACAAGCAGCTCTGGAAGGGATTCAGTAACTTGACAATAACAAAAAAGAGTGGATCCTGCTCCTTTCTGTCCCCAAAACCAGGAGGAGAAGATGGTGAGAGATGTTTATTGGAGTACCTCTTCTTTCTGTGGGGCCAGAAGGGAAACGAAACAGAAATCAACAAGAAGGGTTGAGAGACAGGAGCATTTCCTACTCTCTTCCTAGGTGTAAGAGGGGAGATGGGAAGTGAGGATGAGAGGCTCTTCTAGATTTTCCTGGGCTGTGAAAAGCAGTAATATTTAGGGTAGGGTGCTGGGAGCAATATGGGGAGCAGAAGACTGAACCTGTCCCTGAGATTTCTTCAGAGATTTCTTCAGTTCTACAGTGGAAAAGGGTCAAATGTGAAGTAAACTTACATCCATGATTTAGAAGATGTGCTTCCAGCCCTGGAAGTCTGGCTCAGCTGCTGTGGGCAGGCACTTCTCCAAAACACAGGGGCTAAAGACAAAAAATGCAGACAGCAAAACCACCCCAAGTTGCCAAACAGCTTCTCTGAGAAGGAGAAGGAAAGACAGAGGAAGAGAGAGAATATGCAGAAAGAGAAAGAAGGAAAAAAAACAAGATCATAAAAAAATTCTTATTCTTAATTCACAAAAATTCAAATCAGCTATGTTATGTTAAGTAAATTGTGCTAGTAAGTTAGAACTGCCTTGACTTGCCTTATCTAGACACCACAGCTCTTTAGGTGCATCAGCAGTAAATCATGTGCATTTGCCATGATGTTCTTGCAACCAGAACTTGGTTTCTGCAGGTTTTAGTACTTCTCCTTTCCTATGGCAGGAACTGAGATGGAAATGATGAACAATTCTGTTCATATGCTCCTCACCATTTCCCCTTCCTTGATTACTCAAACTTTCTACTCCAGGCAGTGTAATTACCAACTTTTGCAGCAGGTACGTGCCACCAGATCATGTCCCAGTCTCAGTCCACGACGCTGAATTAATGTGGCATGGTTTCCCACACACTTCCATAACTGCAGGGAAATGTCTGCAGGAAGGAGAATGGAGTGTGTCCACGTCCATTTGGATGAATTACGACCCCAAAAGAGTAACTGGAAACTTGCTTGCAAAAGTCTGTAGACTTGAGAAACAGCAGAGTGTAGTGATGAGAGGTAATGACGTTGATTGTCACTAGAAGGAAAAGACATGACATATAAATAATGCAAGAGGGAAGGAAGAAGGGACAGACAAAAATATTATTGATCATAATCAACAATAATCATCACATGGTTTTTATGAGAACCTATCCTCCCTAAATAGGTGAAGGCATAGGAGCTACCTCAGTAGCCTAAAAATTAGAATGGTAAAGAGAAGTAAAGCAGACCATGTTTTTACCACTTGTCAAGTGAAACATGACATGTTCCTGAGTAAATAAGGCAGTATGTCTGCTGGCAAAGTGTGCAGAGTATAATACTGTCATCTGTATATTGAGGGAACTCAATTCTGCCAATACAGAGAAAGTGGGGCTTCCTAGAAATTAGTAATTTCATCTGATTAATAATGAAAATACTTTTCTCTCTTTCTTTAAGGAACATCTCCTCTCTTTGGGTCAATTTCTTGGGGAATCCACCCACATCAAATTTCAAACTGAAGAACTTGTGCCTAATGGTTCTGGTGACTGGCTGCGACAGAGAGCATGGTTTAGGAGGCATCCTCAGAAAAGCCTTTACTTGATAAATTCCTCAAGTGGCAGAGATTATCTCTCCCCTAGTGCCCCAAAACTGCCTTTCTCTGCTCCACTGCACCAGTGACAGATCATGCCTTTTATTGTCTGTGCACCTCAGGGTGCTTTCCTTTCCCTCTGTAAAAGCATCTTGATTTTCTAGTGAAAACTGAAGGATCCTCACATGTCTTCATGCATCCATGAAACTCACAAGTATTTCAAGAGATCTTTAAAATGCAGCAGGGAAAACTGAGAGGACTGAGGTCAAAGACAACTCATCATCTCTCCAACATCAGTCAGTGTGAGGCATCTGTACTTAGCTTTGTTTCACATCCTTTGGTATTCTCGTTCCTAAATACTTACGTTTGCTACCTTGAAGCTGGAGCAAAGGTGACCCACTCTTCTGCCTTTAAAGGCAATTTAGAAAACTGCAAACTGTGCAACAGAAAGGATGACCTGGAAGTAGATGCTCTGCCAGCATGAGTCATGCTGCTTTCTTTGGAAGGGGCTCTTACCATGCACCGGACATGGACCAGATTATTTTTTTTTTTTTTAAATTTAAATTACTGCCCTGTAAACAATGCTCTGATCCTGTGACATTCAGGATAATTGAGTGGAAGGAAGACAGTGTGAAGCTTAGTCAACAGAGACTGAACGATCAAGCACCCAAGGTAGTCACATTGTGTTCCCCTCAATATGCTCTGACAGTCCACAGACAGCTGGCTGGTCATATGGTGCCAGCCTCTTTTCCTGCTTCTAGCTGCTACATGATATTAAAAGGAGAAGGAAGGAAGGAAGGGGAATCCCTTCTTAAAATCATGTGTACAAACAATAGCTGCATCAATGCAGATGGAAGGGGATTCTGTCCAAAACACACAGTTAAAAGCAGCAAGTGCTTCAAAGTCTGACAGCCAGTCTCTCCTGAGCCTGACTTTCATGGAGAAAGCCACTGCACCTGCAGATGTCCCCCGAGCACCGAGGCAGGGGAGGAGGGGTGAGTTGGTGTGCTAGCCCCTAAAGCCCAGCCCTTGATGCACCAACATCATCAACATCCTCACCCTGTGTGAGTGTGAGGTTCAGGCCGTGGGGCAGGGCCCTCAGCCGTGTTTCTGATGGAAACTCTGCTCCAGAGTTGTCTGGGTAAGTCATTACACACATGCACCCAAAAGGGCAGCATGGTCATCAAGGCATCTTCCCCATGCTGTGTGGTGGCTCCAGGTCAGATGGGGGCTTGGTGAACAACATTCTCCCCCACCTTCCACTCTCTGTATGAAGGAAGCTGGGCAGGAAGGTTGGAGGAACACTGTGGGTTAGCACTCTTGTTCACATTGCAGTGGATTCATTTCTGCCTCTCCTTCTCATGAAGGCGTCATCTTCTGGCAAAATGAGCAGGCATTCATTTCTCCTCTTTCCTGGTGGTACAGGCTCCTGCCTGCAACCTCCTGTGTTTTCCAGGTGGCTGCTCTAAGTGTAGGGAGGAACAGAAGCTGAGAGTCAGAGTAGGGCATGGCAAGACTCCAGTGCCACAGGGAGGGTATGAGAAGGAGGCTGGCTGGGAAAGCCATTGCCATGCAGAGCTACCTACCCAAGGGAGAGAATTAGGCAAAATTTTTGCTGCCTTCCTTTGCTCTTCATCCATGATGGTTGCAGCAACAGCAATGGAAAATTTTACCTTGCACAGTGATGTGAGGCAAGAGAAGAAGTCTGGTTGTCCCTGTACTGCAGTCAGATCCTACTTCCTGCAGAAGGCAAGGTGAGCCAGAGGAGAGAATTGTGCCAAAATCTGCACTCCACTAAAGCACAGCTCCCACGAGAAATGGTTTTAGGCTTGGTAGTGGTCTCACAGCACGTCTGCTGAGAAGGACTCCCCAGAAAATACTCTGCCTTTTTACCCACTGGCACCTTTGAGGGGTAGCAGAGACCTTATTTTCAATCCTCCAATTAGCTTCAAGTTCACCTCTTGAGGTTTCTTTAAGAGTGGTTCATCACTTCAGGAGCAACCTGCTCTCCTGGCTCTCAGTCTTCTGGTCACAGTCTTGTTTTGAATGGTATCCTTTAATTAGAGAGCAAGAGAGGCTTTGTGCTCAGGGCGCTCCCAGGGAGGGCAAGTCCTGGGCTCCCATCCCTGCACCAGGGCCTGCCATGTGCCAGTGCCCGCCTACAAGATGCACCAGGGCTCCTGTTGTCCCTTCCTCTTTTCCTCACACACAACCCAAAAGTATGCAACCCTTTCATATCAAGCAGAGTTGCTGCCATGGTGTACTCAGCCTCGTTGTCCCATGGAATCTCGTAGGTGTTCTCTGGGAAGCTGGGACACCAGCAGAAGAAGGATGGCAGCAACGCTGTTGGCTGTGCTCTGAAGGAGCTGAGGGTCTCGCTCCTGAACTCCGTGTGGGAGCATCTCCTCTTGGCCATGGCTCCTGAACTCCGTGTGGGAGCATCTCCTCTTGGCCATGGCTCCTGAACTCCATGTGAGAGCATCTCCTCTTGGCCATGGCTCCTGAACTCCGTGTGGGAGCATCTCCTCTTGGCCATGGCTCCTGAACTCCGTGTGGGAGCATCTCCTCTCAGCCATGGCTCCTGAACTCCATGTGGGAGCATCTCCTCTCAGCCATGGCTCCTGAACTCCGTGTGGGAGCATCTCCTCTCAGCCATGGGCACCATGAGGGGATGGAGGCAGCCGAGAGCCAGAGGGATGAGGGGTGACCTCAGCCTCCTCTGTGCTTGCCCCCAGCAGTTCGTGCTGCCCTGCAGAGTGTCCTGGCTGCCAGGAGGGAGGCGTGGGGAGCCGGCACTGCCTCCTTGGAGACTGCAGGCTCTGGCAGAGGTGCCACATCGGTGCTTGTCCTGCCCGGGATGGCAGCCCCGAGCAGCCGCCAGTTTCAGTGATACTGAAACTCATCAGCATACAAACCTCTTTTGAAGATGGAACTCAGATGACACTTTCACAACATGCTTAATCCAATCTACTTGGAAGTGGCTGCCAAGAGGGGAGGTCCGACTCTGCCTTCTGGCAACGCGTTCCCTCCACACCAGCCCGCAGCTACTGCAGCTACACCTTCTGCTGAATGAGGGAAATTTCCCTCTACTAATTTTGATCTGGATCAGCTCCCTAGGTCTGGTAACTCCATTGCTGCATGAGTACTGGTGCCAGCACAACAGAACCAGAGAGTCCATGGGGCTGGGATGGGAGTCAGGGGACAGAACAGGATCAGCCCTCTTGGCACTGCCTAAGCTTAAACCAGTCAAGAAATAGTCACAGCTGGGTCTTAAAATAAAAAGACCTTCAAAAATAGTGATTGTGTTTGGTTATTGAAATTAAGGCTTTCATGACTGTATTCACCTGGAGGAGGAATTATTTTAGTCTTTGTGAAATACCATATATATATATACCATATATATAAAAGTACCGTATACCAATACCAGTGAAAGCTGAAAGAAACCTACTGCCAGACTTCTCAACTTCTTTAAATGAGGCATTTGTTTTGCATTACACTGAACTTGAACACAAAAGCCAGTATCAGAAATGCCAAGGCCATGATCTGCCAGCTCCCCTGCTTTTCCTTGTCTCTGTTCAGGCTCGCTACAGGGTGTGTTTTTCTCTGTGTGTGATGCTGTGACAGTTAATATGAATGGCAATTATTAGGGCACGCCAAAAGATGAGCACTGCACACATTAGCAACGGTAACCAGCTTTCTGCATTGTTGGCTCTGCCTTCAAAACAGCTATTAGACATTGATATTTCTCGAAGTATGGATTGGTGATCAGCCATCACTACTGAAACATTTTAAAAAGAAAAGTGCCTCCACATGAAAAACAGC